ACTTTAGCAAAGGAAAACCAGTCTCCTCTTGGCTTATATCGAAATCCTCCGACATTCTTCTTTACAAATCCTCGTTTTGTACTTCTAATTAGTGACTGTTGTTTTGTTTTGATCTCTCCACTGTGCTTCCGCATGCGTCACTTATGAGCGGCGCATGCGGATGACTTGAGGGTGAGTAATTTATGGGCTAATTTTCAATTTTTGGTGAACTAACCCTTTAATAATATGTTTTAGTTATATAGTATACTTCCATAAGCTCAAAAGGTAGCTTTACAGTCAATATACAATTAAAGAACAGTCAAGTAAAAAAAAAAAAAATCATTTTTTAATATTTACTGTTATTTAATATATCTTTGTTCTTTTTAATTGTGCATTTTCATTACATTGCTTAAGGGTGCGTTCACACTTGTAGTTCGGTTCTCTTGGTTCGTTTGGTTCGGACCAAAAAAGAAAAAGATACATTTGGTCCTGGTCCGCTGAGCGTTCACACTGGCATTTTTGACAGCGAACCTAAAGATACTGAACCTAAAGGCACAGTGATACGTTTTAAGTCGCTTTAAGTCGAATACACCTAATGCCGTCTGCTAGACTAAGCGCGCTCATTGCTGCGTGTACTTATGTTGTTATTTTCACCACCTGTAAACTCACGAAGAGCTCATAAAAGGCACTTTACCTAATCGTTGCTCCACGTTTGCCCTCTGCTCATTTTGTTTTGGTTACACCGCTCGTTCTGTGTCGTCAAATCATGTCGCATAGCGTCGCATCTTGTCATTACTTCTTGTTTTTGGTTCGTTTAGAAGTATTTGGTCCGTGTTGCATTCATATTTCATTCGAACCACACCAGAGTTCGTTTGGAAGCGGACCGAGAACCATCTTTTTAGCAGTCTCGGTCCGCTTGTTTGGTGCGCACCAGGGTTCGGATGGCAGCGTTCACACTACCCAAACGAACCGCACTAACAGAGCAGTCGCACCAGGGTTCGTTTTAATTTAACCAAACACGACAAGTGTGAACACACCCTAAGATTACTATCAGCATTCAAAATAAACTCAGGTATCGCATACTGGTTCAAACGATCATGTTCTCTATACTCACATGGAGTTGTGACACTGCACATCTCTATGGTAGAGGCAATGTGGCCAGACGGTCTTCCTTCTGGATTAACAAATATTCTCTCTTCTCCTGTGACCAGATCACATGGCACTCCCTAATAGGAAACCATACATAGCAGCTCTAACATTCACAACTAATGTGTAATTACATTAAAAACCAAAATAACCTAGTCTGAGGAATGAAACTCACTGCGTCATTACTCTTCTCATAGATTTCATGGGCCAGCAGCTTTAGCGGTCCACAGTAAACTCCAGACTTGGCTGCTAGGTATCTCTGGATGGCATGATAGGTCTTCCCACTGTTGGTGGGTCCTGCATGAAAAACAATCTTTCTTTGAATAGCCCTGGCCTCTGGATACCTGTAACACATTTATCATGTTCAGAAGATTGTATTGGTAAAAAAATATGTAAAAGTGTAATGACTAATTCACAGTATTGTGCAATAAAACTTTAGAAAGTGCAGATGAGAAATCTGTAAAATCTGTGGATGAAACTCTCAGTACCAGTTTGCTGGGACCCGTAGGTCACTGATCTTGCGTAAATCATCTATACAGTCCAACATAGGAAAAATCTGTTTGGCATGTCTCATAAAGTATGGGAAAATGTCATCTATGTGACCTGGAATGAGGAAAGGAGAATTATAGATTTGGGGTTTTCTAATGGATATTGACAATTTAGTATATCTGATGTAAATACTCACCAGCTCCACAACAGATGTCACTAAGAATAATATGCAAGTCAGCATTTAGTGAGTTCATTTCCAGCACATATTTCCTAAAACTGACAAACACTTGATGAAAGAGACGAGCTGTTGAAGAACAAATATACAACGATCACAAAAATGCTTTGTAACAAACAAAATACAGTAGTATTCCTGACATACTTCTATGTGCATAGTTTTTAAATGGGCGTGCCTTTATAATAACACAGTGTGATGGGTGTGGTTGACAAATACAATGTTAATTATGTAAGATCATGTAGTAATAATGGGTCCATGATTCTTACCGTCAAGCCCTTGGTCAGCAGCCAGTTTTTGCATCTCTTTTCTTTTGTAGAATCTATTCAGTACCTTCAGAAGTTCACCTGTTAAAACGGATAAATAAACAACGATCAGATGTATTTCTGATAATAGTTATAATCGAGTATTCTAATTTCATCTGCATGGTCAAATCTATAGTTTAGTTTCATATAATTATGTTGACTGAGGTATATTAAAGATACATTCAGATGCAAATATGAATGCTCAGAACTTAAAGTGAATCATCTATAAATCGATTATATACTAATAACATAACACTAATAAACACCGTCTTTACTTTTGTCCAGCGGTTGCGTCAACTCCTCGCCGACTACGCCGTCCGCGACTTCATCGCTTTTGACGGTGAGCGGTACAAACAGGGATGTGTCCAGGGGTCTTGAAGAACTGTTTGAAGATGAATGTCTACTAGATACATTTTCAAATGTCCTTCTTGTTGGATGCAGTGTAGTGTTGTTTGCTACAGCAGCTGTGCTAGCACATACCCGGTATCGGATGTGAGAGCGCGACAATAAGTAAACACAGCGATGTACCGACATTTTTAGAGTGCACTTGGTCGAAAAGAATAATAAAAATGGACAGTCACGGTCGCACAATTTATATTATAAACTTCATGTTAATAAACTGTTTAGTTACAGCAACAGTACCAGCACCTATGATGACAAGGAGGTCAAGTTCCTCTCAGTGACAAAACGTGCAGAAGGACCCGAGATTTTTTGGTGCCCGAAGTAATGCCTGTATTTTTATTTCACTATTGAGTCAAGTGTTAAAGTCAAGATTAGAAAAATTTAGGGAACAGATTACGAGTGTATTATAGACTGTGATATCAAGAGAATACGTTCGCTATAACATTTGAAATCTTGAAGGTTAATAATTTTTGGAAAGTGGCATAAACGAAAACTACTTAGTGTAATGAGTGGGATGTTTAGTCCACTAGGTGGCAGTAATGGATTGTATAAAGTCAAGTGCATTTGCTAAGGAGTGGTGTGGTCATTTGTATAAAATGAATGTTCCACGTGGAATAAAGAGGCCAGCACCAGTAATACCTCTGTGCGAACTGGTTTGACTTATTAATTGAAAAGAACAGACTAATGTACTCACAAATCAAATATCACTAAGGCTTGAAAGATTTGATCTACTACCATTATCTAGTTGAAAACAGCAGACTGTAACTGTGAAAAATATATTCACAAAAAATATATTCACCATGACTTTGCTATGAATATGACGTGACACGCACATGCCAATGACGTATATACAGAATTTCCCGCGAAATCCGTCCCGAGAGCTCATGTATAAATCACCACGATAGGTGTTTGAAAGATGGATTTTTAGCACCTCTCAATAATGACATTGATATTTTTAATAATAATAAAAAAAAAAAGAGTGTAGCTGTAAGTATAAACTTGCATTTTTATTGGACATCGGCACATAAACAAAACTATGGCTGGATAATATGTACAATTTTTCAAGATGTACCAATGACTCAGTTGCTGTAGCACAACTATTCAATCAGTTCTCCAAACACTCATGTCTTTTCCATTGGGGCACTCAATGGCTTTGTACACAGACATTTCCATGAGTAATGTAGTGTGTTTAAAAAAAAAAGAAAAAAAAAAAGAATACATTTGTTTTAGAGTGAAATCAAAAACAGTTTCAAAATGAAAAGGTCCAAATAAACATTCAATTCACAAACCACTTAAAATATGCAAGAGCACATTTGCAACAATGAAAAAAATGTTAACATCCCCTTGTGATAGGAAACATTATAGCAGGATGACATGCAAAGGATACAACAAAATTCCAGCATTTCTCTGTGGTGTCTAACAATTTAGACAGTATGAAATGTAATTGCAGCAGAGATGATATTTAGCAATCAATAGCAACGAATCATCTCAGAAATTCACAAAACTAATTAGGATCACAAAACTAAGTGGCCCTCTTTTACTACGAAGCCAGTGTGTTATTCAAAACTGGGCTGACAAGTTGAATACATGTGCCCAATATAATTACACAAACTGCCCTAGTTTTATAAAGCTTCTAGTCCAAAACCTCTTTAAATATTTTATATATAGACACATACTTTTTTATTTCAAAGACAGAATTCCTTTAACATAAGGAGCATTTAAAGAACAAAACAAAAAAAGAGAAGATGGCTAAATAAGTTAAATAGAAATGTTTTACAACGTTTAAGTGGATTGCAAATACAGTGTGGCTGGGTGCCATTACATTTCTTGAACTTTTTTTTAAACTGACCCCATTGCCTTTATTAACTGTTACCATGAACTCAGATTCACCAGCTAGCATGCATGAGAAAGCTCTTTAAAATGTGTTTAGGTCTATGTTTCCGCTCTATGATGTGGAACATAGAGGATACCAGTGAGTGCACTTTTAAAAACATTTCTTCATCTAGGGAGGCGTGCAACCTTGAAGATGTGCTATATTACTTACATTATTGTTTCCAGTGCTTTCTAAAAAGTGTCCTTGTATACTAACAGATTGCTTGCTGTAGATGGCAGGGAGGGCAGAGCCAAATCAGGCACAGTTTATCACCATAAGCTGTGAGGGGTGACCATGTGAACAGCGATCTGCATGTATGTTCGGTGGAAGATGTTCTCCTCTCCTGCGACTGGTCACTGAGAGGTACGCGTGTCCCTGGCTGGTTGCTCTCCAGACCCCGCTCACATTTCCGGCTGCTCAGCAGAGAGACTCGGCCGAGGCTCAGGTGACTCGTAGCGCTGATGGAAGTTCCGTTTCCGCAGTTTCTCGGGTGCCTTCCTCCACAAAACTATTTCCTACAAAAAATACGAAGCATTCTATTCACCTTGCACGATTTTTATATATGATTCTTATAGATAATTCAATTTTATACTGTAAATCTGATTACTACTGTACCTGCTGTTTAAAGTATCTCCTATCTTCTTCATCCACAAGCACCAAGTTCAAAAAGTACCTCACAGAGAATTTCTTGTTTACATCTAAAGTCAAGTGCATTTGCTAAGGAGAGGTGTGGTAATTTGTATATGATGAATGTTCCACGTGGAATGAAGACGCCAGCACCAGTAATACCTCTTTATATTGGTTTCTTGTCTGGTTATTGAATAATACATGGTACCAGGAGTGGGGTATGACAGTAGACATGTGGTACAAACAGTTGTAACCACTTTATTAACTGTTACCATGAACTCAGATTCACCAGCTAGCATGCATGAGAAAGCTCTTTAAAATGTGTTTAGGTCTATGTTTCCGCTCTATGATGTGGAACATAGAGGATACCAGTGAGTGCACTTTTAAAAACATTTCTTCATCTAGGGAGGCGTGCAACCTTGAAGATGTGCTATATTACTTACATTATTGTTTCCAGTGCTTTCTAAAAAGTGTCCTTGTATACTAACAGATTGCTTGCTGTAGATGGCAGGGAGGGCAGAGCCAAATCAGGCACAGTTTATCACCATAAGCTGTGAGGGGTGACCATGTGAACAGCGATCTGCATGTATGTTCGGTGGAAGATGTTCTCCTCTCCTGCGACTGGTCACTGAGAGGTACGCGTGTCCCTGGCTGGTTGCTCTCCAGACCCCGCTCACATTTCCGGCTGCTCAGCAGAGAGACTCGGCCGAGGCTCAGGTGACTCGTAGCGCTGATGGAAGTTCCGTTTCCGCAGTTTCTCTGGTGCCTTCCTCCACAAAACTATTTCCTACAAATAATACAAATCATTCTATTCAACTTGCTGGACAAAGAGACACTGAAAGTACAATTTTTATATAATTCTTATAGATTTTATATAATTTTTTTTCATACTGTAAATTTGATTACAACTGTACCTGCTGTTTGAAGTATCTCCTATCTTCTTCATCCACAAGCACCAAGTTCAAAAAGTACCTCACAGAGAATTTCTTGTTTACATCTCTCATTGTGGCTGTAAGGTCATAACCAGCCAGGAAAAGGCGAATAGGAATGGATTCACCTAGAAATACATTTTTAGACCAATAGGGAGGAAAAGTCAGTAATGAAACTGGCAACTTAGTTGATTCTACTTCAATAACCCTGCATTGAACTGAATGTGATGATTCATGCACGAAAGGTTTGACGAATGGTTTACACAGAAATTTGTTCTGTTCGTGATTCATGAATGAGGCCCATTATGTATGTTCTGGCATTAGTACTCTGTGTCTTCTGTAGAAGTAACCTTTTTAAAAGACTCATCTACATTTATATCCTTACAAAACGATACAGAAAATGGTGTGGAGAAGCTGCTCACCTTTCACTGGTGCTCCATCCATAATCTCATATTTAGCCACAGTCTCGGTCTCAGTAGTTGTGCTCGGCCCTAGATAGGCATGTCACAGGATACAAGGTGAAAAGTTTATAAAATTAAATTACAAACATACTATTGTTCAAAAGTTTGGGGGCACATTTTTTT